TTTTCCTGTATATTTATTTAGGTTTCTGATACTGTGTGTGTGTGTTGTTTTTATTGGATTCTAGGTGATATTGCTTTGGAAGGCAACCCATTTTTTTTTTTTTTTTTTTTTGTATATTGCTACTTTAACATTAGGTGAGTGTATGATTCCTGTGGCTGGTCGCCGGCGTGGCCAAGCTACAAACGTCGCTCCCGCTGTGGCAGCAGAAAACGTCTCATTGCAGAGAGGAGCCGAACCCGATTGGCTCTTTGACAATGACGATGACAATAACAATAACAATAGAAGACAAATCATCCCTTCTGCTTCAACTAGCGCAACAACGCGGGTTCCTCCTACTGTTCCTTCTGCGCAGGATGCGTTGTCTTTTCTTGACTTTGATGATGAACCTATGGTGATATCCACAACAATGCCACCAGCAGCACCAGCGGCACCGTCTTCCTCTGCTGTTCCCTCAACTTCTACTTTTTTATCGCCTAGATCTGTTCCATTAGCAGGAACATTAGGGGTAAGAGAACGAGAAACAGGAACAGTTCCACCTCCTCCCTTTCTTGTACCTGATACACCTGTTAGTGATGTCATTCCGTCTTCTTCAAGTCATCCTACCTCTTTATCTTCTTCGTTAAAAATACGATGCGAGGAATTACAACGAGAATCACAGATAATAGAGGCGGAATTACAAGAACGTGAAAAGTGTATTAAACTCCTAGAGAGTAATGAAGATGAACTATGTAAAGAGGTAAAAGCATTAGAAGAGGAAGTACGTGTAAAGAAGGAAAAAGAGGAAGAAGGGGAAGTTTTATTAAAGTTAACAAAAGAGGTTTTAGAAGAAAAACGACAAAAACTCTTTGAGGAAAGAGATGCTTTTCAAAGAGATGAGTTTGATAAAGAATTAAATATATTAAAAACACAATATGAGAGTGAAATAAGGAGGATTGAAACTTCTGTAAATGAACAAGAGGCATTATTATTGGATTTGGGAGAAAAACATGCTGCTATGAGTAAAACTATCAGTATGACGGATTATTTTGAAAATGCACTTCAAAAAATAGAAGAAAAATTAGGGAAAGGAATACATAGTATGGGAACTAGCATGTGTATTCGTGTTAAACCTATTCTTATTGATAATATTCGAGATACAGTAGCAGATGCGAGACAACAACGTTTAGATATTATTTCAAATGATAGACAAAAAAGACGGGAAGAATTAGATAGCTTTCATGAGATAATAAAGAAAAATATGAGTGAATTCCGTCAAGAAAGACGTGAGAAACATAAAATTAGATTAGATTCAATTTTTGGTCACAGTATATCTCAATCTAGATCTGCTCTAGAAACACGTCTTTCAACTTCAAGACAACAGTTTTTAGAACAACAAAAAGTAGCTACATCAGAGTCTCAACGGTATATACAACATGCAATTGATGAGATCGTTAAAAGATCTGGAGAAGATTTAAAGAACCTTGAAAAAAAATTTCACGAAGAATTAAAACGAACAGAATCACAAAATACTGCAGAACTTGAACATCATGCACGTCTTTACACTGCAGAAAGAGAGGCAGGAATTCGATCTCAGCGTCGAGCTGAAGATGAAAATAATATGAAATCTCTCACACCTTCTGTATATAAATCTGCTGAAAAAAGTATAAATCTTTTACGTGAACGTGTAGAACAATTAAAACATTCTGTTATTTTTGATATTCAAGAATTATCATCATCTTTACCAAAATATGGGAATAGTAATAATAATAATAATAATAATACTCGTGGAATTCGTGAAAAAGAAGTAATGTTAGAAGAATATATGCGAAGAACGTCTCAATTAAGTCAACAATTGCAAATAAAATGGGAACAATTTAGATCTGCTATATCTCCATTAGAGCAGTGTGTAAATTTATTATCAGAATCTTTACAGGAAGGACGTGTGAAGAATGCAAGTATGCTACAGAGTATTGAATGTATATATCGAGCATGGAATCAAGATGTAAGACGTGAACTTTCACATTGTTTCACATCAAATGCTGCGTCATCAGACTCTGTAGAACTGGAGAGTACCACTGCATGTATGACACATGTTTTGGATGATATCTTAACTCACCTTCAAGGGTTAATGATAACGCATACGAATGTGTATGCAGAACGAAAAATTTTTGGTTCTGATATTATTCAACAGGTTTCAGAATTAAGTACACAACGTCAGAACTCTGAAATTCTACTTCAATCTGTCCTTGAAACATGTAATAATTTAGCCCGCTTGACAGCAGAAGTGGAGACAAAACAAACTACTTTATCAATGGAAGAAGAAGAATATAAGGTTGCAAAACAACAGTTAGAGAAGGAAAAGGCGGAATTCAATGAACGTTTAAAATCTGTACAGAATCTTAGTGCAAAATTGCGTCGTGAAACTTCACAACTTGAAACAAAAGTGATTCCACGTGGATATACTGAAGAAAATACACGTGTTCTGTGTGATATGACCTCAGAAAGTATACATAGTGAGAATACAAATTTTAAAATAAGAAGAAAAGGAACATATCAGAAACAGGAACTGCGAAAACCAATAATGGGAGAGACAACAATACCTTATATAGGAGCTTCTACAGTCGAAAATGATACTGGTGGCTCTTCTAGGAATGAAAGTTCTACAGGATTTGTAAGTCTTTTAACAGTTGAAGATACATCTCCAATCCAGATGGTTACAGAAGAAGCGGATGAGGCTGAAGAAAGGCGACAGTCTTGCGCCTCAAGTTATGCACTTTCATCATATCGCATGTGCGCTGGTGGCGAAAGTAGGTCATTGACCACACCCTCCACCTCCAACTCATAAAAATAAAAAGTAAAGATGGTAGCGGTGCTCTTTTTTTCTTTTTTTTTTTTTTTGTTTCATTACTGCTAGTGTTTGCTTCATGTCTCTTCATCCTTTCCTCTTCCCTCCCTTGTTTCTCTTTTTTTTTTTTTTTTTTTTTTTTTGTTTTAGTTGATGAACTTTTTTTTTTTTTTGTTTCTTTTTGTCATCTAAAAACTGTCACTATTTATTTTCTATTTCTTTATTATTTATATCTTTACTGTTTTACCTTTCATCTTCTCTCTCCCCTTTCTTTATTATTATTATTATTATTATTATTATTATTATTATTTCTTTTAATTCTTTACTTCATACATCATCAAGAAGGATTGAGGGCGACCATTCTTAGAGTTTACTTTCTGTACATTTTTCATTTTCATTGTATCTTCCCCTCCTTTACAACTCTTCTCTTTACCTTCCTTTATTCTCCCGCCTCTACAGGGAGCCAGAATGATCTCCCTCAACTTTACGCTCTATCGCTTTGTCTCTGACCCTGCGGGGTTCCACAACCTCCCTAATCTTGACAGCTTGCCATTCCTCTGCGAATGGGCCCCTCTTCCCCGCAATGCTCATTCCCACTCGCATTCGCAATTCTACTCCCGTGGGCGGAGCGGAAGTACGGCGCCGGCGGTGTTCGCCCCAGCAGGGGACTCCATGGCGCTTGGACTCAGCGGCCACAACGCCTCCCTGGAGCTCGATCCTGACACGGATGTTATCGCCTTTGTAGTGCGGGCCGTTCATCAGCATAAACCGGAATCTGTTCTCGCGCGTGGTACACTCGATCCAGTTCCATTTATTGGGCGTCCATTAAAGAGTTACGCAATTAAACTACGTGATGCTGCAGGAGATGTGGTAGGACGTTTGCTCTTCTCCATGGAGGTACGCGAAGCATACCAATTTGAGAGACCAGTAGAAGTTACTGCTGTTTCTGGAACTTCAGTGGAAGCAAATAGACTCCGGAAGGATAGAAAGACCATTGAGGATATTGTCAAGAACGAAAACAAGGAAAAGAAGAGTGGTGGAATTAATGGTAATAGTAATGGTATTGGTGATAATAATACTAATAGTAAAGAAAATAATGATAAAGATAGAATTAACACCAACCTTGATCATATTACTGGGTCAATGCCTTACAAAACGAAGGATATATCATCAAAATCACCACCATACTCTGCAACGACACAGTGTAATTCTTTGGAAACATCACCATCCCGTGATAATAGTCAAAATCGTGGGTCTACAAATATACCTGGTAATATCTCTGTTAATGGTGTAAAAAAAAAGGATGAAAAGAAATCCGATCGTTTGCTTATTGATATAGAAAGAGTTATTATAAAAAAAGAAGCAATAAACTTGGATAACCCTGCTCCTTTGCTTCTGGGTGGAATGTATTACGCAAAGGTACGTTATGGTGAAAATACTTTGTGTACACCTGCTGTAGAGTGTCGGAGCCCAAAGGAGATTGTATACAGTTCTCGTGTCTCATTTGAAGAAATACCTGATAGCGGCGATAAAATTCGTTTTTCTATTTGGGAAGATGAACGTCAAGTGGCTGGCTTTTCGTTAGATCCCAGTAAATTTCGTGTTACACTTGGTGGACATAAGGAGTATTCTATTCCGTTTCGTTATTACCCAACACGGCAGGCAGCTTCATTAGAGGTGACAGTGCATCGTGTAAACTCTGAATTGAAAAATGATAATGATAATGATGTAGGATTAGTTGCGAAGAGGGATGCGTCGACAAGGCAACCAAGTCCAGAACAACAAGAAGAAGAAGAAGCTCTAGAACCACCACCATCGCTACCTACACCTGGAACTGTAAAATATGAGGATAAAAGAGAAACACCTTTGCAGACTAATACTCCTTCTTTAGCATCACGTGTCGAAGATAAAATTTCTTCAGCACCTCATAGTTTATCTTCCAGGGAAACATCTAATATTGGACATGTTCTTTCGGCAAAAGATTACGTTAGAAAGAGATATTCTAGTCCTACTGTGAGGCAGAGTCATTGGGATAATGGTGTACAAAAAAGCAGCGACTCCAATATTCGGAACCAAGAAAAAGAAAAACCGATACAGGATTATAAAGAGGAACAACAACAACAATCACAGCAACACAATGAAGATAGAAATCAGTCTAATATGACTGTTCCACCTTCACCGAAGGTAATGTTAGATGCTCGACAGCAGCAAGAAGAAGAAGAAGAACAACAACAAAAACAACATGAACGCTATAATCACAGCATTCAACAAAAACAAAAAGAACAAGAACTATTAAAAAAAGAAGAAGCGGAACAACAACAACAACAACAACAGCAACGACGAAGACCACAACCACAATCACAATCACAATCACAACGACGCACTGGTGATGCACTACTCTCACGTATAAGACAGAGTGAAAGACGCAACGATTCTGAGAATGTGAATCGGGTACAAGCCTTCTTAAATCAAATTTCCCAAAGCGGTAACCGTTCTTCATCCGCTACACGACAACCCACAGAAGGATTGGAAGTTCCTCAACTCACTCCAGGTCGACGGGAGCCCAGTTCAAAGCTTTACCGCACCGCTGATGAAATGCGCTGGAGTGAGCGTAACCACACCCCACTGCGCAGCCACCACAGTGGACCGGGCGGCGCTGGCCCCAACCCCAACCGCCCCAACAGCGGCCGGCAACCGTCGGAGTGGAACACCAGCGACATCGACGGACGGAGCCGCAGTCGGATGGCGTGGCAGCAGCGAATCGCAAGTGTCAGCGAGACGCCGAGCGATCGGGCCTCCGCCAGCGGCATCGCCGATAGTCGTGAGCGTCTCGCAGACTCGCTGCTCTCGCGTCTGGAGCGACCGCCGGGGTTCCGTACTTCACTCATGGAGGAGTGGCTCGAGTGGCGTGAGGCGCGGGGATCGGCACGAGTTTCACGTGCAAGTTCTACGCACAGCACCTTTAGCCGAGATGATTCTATCGCTTCCATCGCATCACGCAATCGCGCGACGAGTCCGCTTCCCACAAAGACAGTGGCGGATGCGGCGGAGCAACGGCCGTACCAACCGGTGTACACCTACCGCTCTCCAAGTACAAGGTCGTCTCTGTCAGGGAGGCCACCCATGCCTATGCGGTGATCATTGTCACTGAAGCTATATATATATATATATATATATAT